ATCTTACATGTGTGACTATTGCCATGCTTTAATGTGGTTTGGAGAACGTATAAACAAGCACTCTCTATCTTCTACTCCAGTTTTCACGATGTGCTGTCTAAGTGGCAAAGTTCAGCTACCTTTATTGAAAGCTCCCCCAAATACGTTGTTAAAGCTATTGTATAATCGCGATAACACGAGGAAACACTTCCGTGAATTCATAAGAGCATACAATATGATGTTTTCGTTTACTTCACTTGGTGGAAAGGTTGATAATACTATAAACAACGGTAATGGTCCGTATTTATTCCAAATGTGTGGTGAAAATTATCATTTGATCGGAGATATATTACCAGCACCTGGCAAACAACCAAACTTCCTACAATTATATATCCATGATACCATCAACGAAGTTAAAAATAGGATGAATGCTTATGGGTAATCTTCGATTTTTATTATAATATAATATTATTATTTATCTATATCAATATAGTGTTTTATTTTTATAAATAATAATAGTTTCAAAATGACTGTTCAGGGATGTTGGTAATTCGAGGAAGCTGAGAGCAGATATCGTGGAGCTTCTGAAGAAGATGTTAGATGATCATAATCCTCATGTTAAAGCCTTAAGAACTGCACGCGAACAATTTGTTGGGAATCCAAATTCTAAAGGTTTTAAGTTGGTTCTTGCAAGTGGCCGAACTACTGATGGTCGAACGCATAACTTACCTACTGAGAACGATGTGGCGGCTTTGATACCTGGTGATTTCAATATGTTAACAGAAAAAAGAGACATCGTTATTCAAAGCAAGTCTGGAGGTTTATACCGTATAAGTGAGTTGCATCCGGCTTATTTACCTTTGCACTATCCGTTATTGTTTCCGTATGGTGAAGATGGTTTTAGATTAGGTATTGATATTGGCTATGTTGATACATCTGGAAGGAAACGCACAACCGTTACAATGCGAGAGTTTTTCGCATTTCGCATTCAAGACAGGCATGGAGAATCCCCAATCATTATGATGTCTGGGAGATTGTATCAGCAGTTTCTGGTTGACGCATATACGATGGTAGAATCAAATAGGCTTCGTTATATATGGCATAATCAAAAGAAGCTACGGTGTGACAGCTTTGATAAGATTGAACAATCTGGTGAACGTGGCAATAATGATCTTTCTGAACAAGGAAAAAAGGTGCTTATACCTGCTTCATTCACGGGAAGTAAGAGATTCATGAGGAAACATTATCTAGACGCGATGGCAACATGCAAGTACTACGGATACCCGGATTTTTTCATAACAATTACTTGCAATCCAAAATGGCCTGAGATAACGAGGTTTTTGGAAAAACATGATCTAAAGATCGAGGATCGACCAGATATTTGTTGCAGGATTTTTAAAATGAAGCTCGATAATTTAGTGAATTATCTAACGAAAGACCACGTTATGGGCCACGTTAACTCAGGTATGTCAAAAAGATTAAATATAAGTAAAGAGTCATAATATATAAATCGTGCCAACTTATACTTAACGTATAGGTACTAATTCGATTTATTATATGTATTTCTAACTTTTTCTAATTGTTTTACTTTTATTTCAGCGATGTATACCATTGAATTCCAAAAAAGAGGATTACCACATGCCCACATGGTTGTTTTCTTGAAACCCGAATCCAAACTACCAACAGGCGAGGACATAGATAGATTTATATCAGCAGAGATACCGGACAAGGACTTTGGATCCAATTTTGTACGAAATTGTTGGAGACTTGATGATACATGGACCATGCGGCGATGACAATCCAAAAAATGTTTGTATGCATGAGAAAAGGTGTACAAAATTCTTTCCTAAGCCTACTGGATCAGTTACTAAAATCGATGATGCTGGCTTCCCCATCTATAGACGTCGTATGGATCAAAGAACCATTCTGAAGAGGGGTGTTTTGTGTGATAACCGATATGTTGTCCCATATAATCCAGATCTCTAAAAGCGTTTTCGGGCACATGTTAACGTTGAGTGGTGCAACCAAACCAGGTCTATAAAGTACCTATTCAAATATATAAACAAGGGTCCAGATTACATTAGAGCAGCAATCGAGGATGAAGACAGTAACCCCGTTATATCCCAAGATGAGGTTGAGCAACATTTCAATTGCAGGTAACTTTGCGAAACTAATTTTTAAGATTAGATCGCTTGAATAATTACTTAAGTATGATTTAAAAAAAACAAGATTATTTATTTCTGTTTGATTTGCTCATTCTTAGATATATTTCACCGTATGAATCTTCATGGAGGCTTCTAAAGATTCCTACACAGTACCGAACCACGGCAGTAATGCAACTTTCGTTTGCCTGGTAAACAAATGTGTATATATCACGAAGGAGAGAGCGTTGACCAAGTCTTAAACAAGGCATCGGTAGGTCAGTCACAATTTATAGCGTGGATGGAGGCAAACAAGAAACATGCCTTGGGAAAGGAGCTAACATATGCTGATTTCCCAACAAAATTCGTCTGGATCTCAAAGCAGCGGCAATGGAGGATACGAAAACAAGGTTTTGCCATAGGCAGACTGGTGTATGTCTCACCTTCCGCTGAAGACGCATATCATTTGAGGATTCTTCTCAATATAGTCAAGGGCCCTGAGAGTTTTGATGACTTAAAAAAGGTTAATGGTGTTATATACTCTTCCTTCCGAGAAGCATGCTTTGCGCTTGGTTTGTTAGACGATGATAAAGAATACATCGAAGGAATTAAAGAGGCCAGTTTTTGGGGAACTGGAAAGTTTCTTCGTAAACTTTTTGCTATAATGCTTCTTTCGAGTAGTGTAGCAGTTCCGATCAACGTCTGGAATGCTACTTGGAAAATATTAACCGAGGATTTCTTATATCAGAAAAGGCGTGAAGAGAATGACCCAGGTAAGATGGATTTGAAATTTTAAACTATTTTACAAGATTCACATTATCTTAGTTGCTAACAGACTTATTTGTATATCTAGTTTTGGTGTTGACTGAAGCCCAATATAAGAATCTTGGTTTGTCAGATATAGAGAAGTATATGCGCAGAAACGGTCATTCATTATCCGACTATAAAGGAGAGATGCCAGTCCCTGATGATATTGGAAAGTATAAGAAATCAAATCATCTAATTCGGGATGAGAAATCATACGATCGTGCAAAACTTGCAAACGATTATGTCAAGTTGTTTTCAACAATAACCAATGAACAGAAGGATATCTACAATGAGATAATGGATGCAGTTACAAGAGGTATCGGTGGAATGTTTTTTGTTTATGGATATGGTGGGACAGGTAAAACGTACATATGGAGGCTTTTAGGCGCTGCTCTTCGTTCTCATGAAAAAATAGTTCTCAATGTTGCATCAAGTGGCATTGCAGCATTGTTATTAGAGGGAGGAAGAACAGCGCATTCTCGGTTTGGAATATCCATAGTTGTGAACGAGTATACATTCTGTAATGTGAGTTCTGGATCACACCAAGCAGAGCTGATTGAAGCAGCCGATCTTATTATATGGGATGAGGCTCCGATGATGAGCAAGCATTGTTTTGAGACATTGGATCGGACTATGCGTGATATACTAAAGTGTGATAAGGTCTTTGGTGGAAAGGTCGTTGTCTTGGGTGGTGACTTTCGACAAATACTCCCTGTTATTGTCGGAGGCAATAGCTCAGAGACTATATTGGCAACTGTGAATTCTTCTCATATTTGGTCTGATTGCAAAGTTCTGCAGCTAAAGACAAATATGAGACTGCTTCGTGGCGATAATGATTTTAATAATCAAGAAATTGAAGAATTCACCAAGTGGATCTTGGATATTGGTGATGGAAAACTAAATATTCATGATACCATAGAAGATGAATTAGAAATTCCAGCGGATTTGCTGATAAGCGGAGAAGGTGATCCTGTTAAGAGAATAGTCTCGGAGATTTATGGTCAATCTTACACAACCACTCGTGAACCAGTTTTTTTTCAGGAAAGGGCAATACTCAGTCCACGGAATCAGGATGTCGACGTTATTAATGAATTCATGCTATCAGAACTCAAAGGTCTTCGTTATATGATTTATCACAATTCCTTTTAATACGTATTTATATTATAATTAAAATATATCAGTACTAACATAGTTTGAATTGTTTTTATTAGGTGAGGAACATGAATACCTTAGTGCCGATAGCATTGATACTTCAGACACAAGCAAAATAGACGAAGTCGTCTATACAGAGGAGTATCTTAATAGTATAAAGGTATCAGGGCTGCCAAATCATTCTCTCAAGTTAAAGATAGGAGCTCCAATAATGTTGCTTAGAAATATTGATCCTAAGGGTGGTTTGTGTAATGGTACGAGGTTGCTTATTACTCGGTTAGCTAGGTATGTAATCGAGGCAAGCCATATAACCGGGAAGAAAATAGGAAAAAAGGTTATCATACCTAGAATGTTTGTGTCACCACCAGAAGCAAGGTTTCCTTTTAGAATGCGCCGGAGGCAGTTTCCTATTACCATAGCTTTTGCTATGACTATAAACAAAAGTCAGGGTCAGACTCTACAAAAGGTGGGATTATATTTGCCAAAGCCAGTGTTCTCGCATGGTCAACTTTATGTCGCCGTGTCTAGAGTTACATCACGCCAAGGGTTGAAGATTCTTATTACAGATATGAATGGCAAAGCACAAAAGAAGACAATGAATGTTGTTTACAAAGACGTGTTTGAAAACATTTATAGAAATTCGCGGTTGGTTTGAATAGATTGTTTTGTTTGCTACTAAAAGTATGTTTAGATTACATTGGATATTAGTTATATTATTTTGGTGGTCATTGGTATTTTTAAACTGTTTTATCTTTTAAATTTTGTTATATTTAACTGATTTATCTTTTGGATCTTCTTATATTATGAATTAGTGTTCACTATGATAACGTTTTGAATAGCTCTGTTTGTTTGAATTAAAAAATTATTAAATGATCAGTTGTTATATATATATTAAACATTATACAAATCAATTTATAAGCTTCCAATTATGGTTTGAATATTACATTTTTTACTCAACAAGCTTTCGAACTATGGATCGAATATTAAATTTAAAACACAAAAAACTGTTTATGTATTACATTCAAAACTAATTACATTCAAAACTAAAAAAACTTTTGAAGAGCATCAGCCCGCGCAGGGCGCAGGCCAGCCACCTTGCTTTGTGTCATACACAATTCACAAGAAAATTATTTTCTCCATAACCCTAAATACTATTAAGAAGTAAGAGAAGAATTAATGGCGTACTACTACGAATCAGACGATGAAGAGCTTCACTTTGAGCCCGAGGACGACGAACTCATCAACGGCCATCTTATTCCCATGTCAAAAGGTAAATATGCCTATGGAGATTACATAGTGATGAAGAATGTTTACGCAAAGGAGCCATGGTTGCTTGACCATACCAAGGATACTTTTTTCAACGAGGACGAGTGGTACTACTTCGTGACAAGGACTCAAGTCTCTGAGAAAAACATCGATTGTCGTAAGAAAGCGAAGCGGAAGAGTCGGGGACAGCGGTTGCTGGAGTTGGAACGCAAAAGGTAAGAAAGAAGAAAGCACCGACAGGAAAACAGGGAACATCATTGGGACAAAGCGAACCCTAACTTTCGGTAAAAGCAACAACAACAAGAAGAAGCAGAAGACAGAAGATGGTGCTGCTTCTTGTGCTATTGTTTCAGGCAGCAACAGCAGATGGACTATGACAGAGTATAGGCTTAAAGAATTAAAAGAAGATAAGAATTTTCAGAAGCTAGTCCTCTGCAAGATTCGTGAGATCAAGAACAAGAAAAGCCATCATAAGTGTTTTTCTAACTTGTCGCAGCAGCCTATCAATACTGGTCACAAGTCTATTCTAGCTTCTTCTTCCTTGCACCAGCAGAAGCAGCTGATTAATGAAGCTCATCGTCTTGATCCGTATATTGGAGCATAGGATCAGAAAATAATGATCAAGTGATCTTCTGCAAGATTCAAGAAAATATGAAGGACGACCATGATGCTCATCATCCTGAGTTTGTACTATCTTCTTCCTTGGAGCAGAAGCTGATCAATGAAGCTCATCATCATCATCCGGAGATTATGCTCAAAGGATTACAAAAGAACGATCAAGTGATCAGAACTTCTTGTCTTACTGAAGATGAAAGTGCTATTGTGGAAGAGAGGATCAGAGAGGATAATCAACTGCACATTGATGCTCCTCTTGCTTGTCTTGGATCAGAACAAGAAGATGAAGAAGAAGAAACAGACAGGTACCAATGTTTGGAGGATGGTGTCGTTCTGATTTACTATACGCCACCATGGATGGATCAGGACTTGCTTGATCAGTATGCTTCTCTCCGCCCCAAAAATTACTGGAAGAAATACAGGAATCTTGGAGATAAATATTTATGATATTGTAGCGAAAATCTATTAGAACAGCTCTCGATGATTTTCTGTTTTTTTTTTTTTTTTTTGTTCTTTTCAGCAATTAAAAACGCATTTATTTGAAAAGAAAAAAAAAACAGAGAATTTTTTAGTCTTACCGTTTCAAGCTTCAGAGATTGTTTCATTTTATGAAGACTCTTTGTGCATTCGTTCTTGAGAGTGTATGAGACGAGATGAGTCTTTTGGCTTTTTTGTTGTCATCGTCTTGAGATCACAGCAAATAGAGTTTGCATTTCTTGTAATGGAGTACTTATCATTCAATAAAGAGAGATTTATAGGCTAGAAAAAACAAAAACAAAGATTGGTTGTTGGAAGCTCAAAGATTGGTTGTCTCTAGTTTTGGTGGCTCAGGTTTTGTTAGGTAGTTGTCATAGTACTTCTTTTATGGAGCTTTCTATCCCTCCAAATTCTTCTTTTTTGGAGAGATATGGCTTAAATTCTTTCACTTTCCTCTTTTATGGAGAGATCGTTACCATAAAATGCTTCATTATGGAGAGATCTTTATCACGAGTTTTTCTCATTCACGGAGATATCTTTACCATCTATTTCCTTCTTAATGGAATGGCTTTTTTTTTTTTTTTTGAAAAGTTCGCCTTGATGGCCAAGGCACTAACTGTGCGAGCAGCAATTGACCAGACAAGTTTTGGGTTTCAAGGTCTATTGTCCTTCATGTGACTAGCAGAACTGTGCCTGAGCACAAGCTAATGAAACATGTGTTTCAGGGCCGGTGAGAATAAATAAAATTTAGGGGCCAAACATTTCCAAAACTGAGTTAGTGCTGCTGGTATTGAATGCGTGTTTCCTTCAACAATTATGCGAGTTCGAGTCTTCAAGGTGTCAATTATTCATTTTTTTTAAAAAAACTAGGTCTTATTTGTCCCACATCCACAAAACTGAAATAATATAGGAAAGGAACTGCGCTATAAATAAAAGAATCGTTTAAAATTGTTTTTTTTTTGTTACAGCATTTTTAATAAAGGGTTTAAGGGGCCAAAAAAATTTCTCTTTATCAGAATTCTCAGGCACGGCTCTGGTGACTAGATACTATCTCTCTAAATGCAGGTTTTCAAGAGTTCCATAACATTCAATATGTTATATTTCAAAACACTATCTTAATGTTTCTATCTCATTTTGCAATATATTGTTTCTCATTTTTTTTTTTCTTCTTCTGCGGTGCACCTCAACCTTGTAGTTCGTTCTAACTCTAAAGTGATAGATTTTGTGTTTATATTGGGTTTGGTCCCAAAAAATGAATTGTTTCCAACATAGAAGAACCAAACTTTAATAAAACTTAAGATTCATCCCGGAAAAGAAACCTAGAAGAACATGGACTTCAACAAAACCAAGTTTCTTTTTTGGTAAACTTCATCGTCAAGTTTCTTCACTGATCTTTTCAAACGTAGTGATTCTATAAATCTTGTTAATTTCGTTAGATATTCTATTGTATTTTCTTTACTGTAAGAAAAACTATTATCATATTATACCTATATCAGTCGTGTAAATAAAATCTAGATTTGCCGCCTGTAATAACAAGATATACACTGCAATAACGATTATATTAAAAGATATTTCACTTTTTTTTTTACGATAAATGAGATTTAAGATATTGAACAAAGTTTTTCCTATTCTTTATCAGAAACGAATTCCTACACATACTTGATATTGGTTAAAGATAGGACTAATAAATATATAAACAAAAGATTTCTTTGTGTCATGCATTATTCACAAAGCCTCCGAGTACTTTTCCTCAAGAAAGCTATTTTCTCCATAACACTAAACACCAAGAAGTAAGAGAAGCTGGCGTACTACTACGACTCAGACGACGATGAAGGCCTTCACTTTGAGCCCGAGGACGACGAAGTCATCAACGACCATCTTATTCCCAAGTTAAAAGGTAAATATGCCTATGGAGACTACATAGTGATGAAGAATGTTTACGCAAAGGAGCCATGGTTGCTTGACCATACCAAAGATACTTTTTTCAACGAAGACGAGTGGTACTACTTCGTGACAAGGACTCAAGTCTCTGAGAAGAACATTGATTGTGGTAAGAAGGCGAAGCGGAAGATCATCACAGACAGCGGTTGCTGGGGTTGGAACGCAAAAAGCAAGAAAGAAGATATCACCGACAAGAAAACAGGGGAGATCATTGGGACAAAGCGAACCCTAACTTTTGGTAAAAGCAAGAAGAAGAAGAAGAAGAAGCAAAAGACAGAAGATGGTGCTGCTTCTTGTGCTATTGTTCCTGGCAGCGACAGCAGATGGATTATGACAGAGTATAGGCTTAAAGAAGCAAAAGGAGATAAGAATTTTCAGAAGCTAGTCATCTGCAAGATTCGTGAGATCAAGACCAAGAAAAACCATCATAAGTGTTTTTCTAACTTGTCGCAGCAGCCGGTCAATACTGGTCATGAGTCCGTTCTAGCTTCTTCTTCCTCGCACCAGCAGAAGCAGCTGATCAATGAAGTTCATCGTCGTGATCCGTATATTCCGAGCATAGGATCAGAAAATAATGATCAAGTGATCTTCTGCAAGATTCAAGAAAATATGAAGGACGACCATGATGCTCATCATCCTGAGTTTGTTCTAGCTTCTTCCTTGGAGCAGAAGCCGATCAATGAGGCTCATCATCATCATCATCATTTGGAGATTACGCTCACAGGATTACAAAATAACGATCAAGTGATGAGAACTTGTCTTACTGAAGATGAAAGTGCTACTGTGGATGAGAGAAACAAAGAGTATAATCAACTTCACATTGATGCTCCTCTTGCTTGTCTTGGATCAGAACAAGAACCTGAAGAAGAAGAAACAGACAGGTACCAATGTTTGGAGGATGGTGTCGTTCTGATTTACTATAGGCCACCATGGATGGATCAGGACTTGCTTGATCAGTACGCTTCTCTCCGCCCCAAAAATTACTCGAAGAAATATACGAATCTTGGAGATGAAGATTTATGATATCGTTGCTAATATTTCTATTAGAATAGCTCTCGAAGATTTTCTATTTTTTTTTTTTGTTCTTTTTCAGCAACTAAGAACGCATTCGTTTTAAAAGAAAAACAACAAAAAGTTTTTTAGTCTTAGTGTTTCAAGCGTGAGAGATTGTTTTGTAAGTGTAATTTACATGAACCCTAAGATCTTTGGACATCAAGACTAATCCCATAATAGAATCATAAGAAGAGTAATAGGGTACCTCCAGCAGTGGAGAGATCTTCTTTAAGGGTTTCTTGAACCGAAGATAGAAAATCGATCTTTAGATGTGAGGTATGGTTTCTCTCTCCTTTCCTATAACTATTTCTTTATGTGTTGTTTCTCTTATGATCACCTTATGATCTCATTAGGATGCTTTAGGATGGAGCTATATACATCTATTTATAGGAGGAGAGAGGACCAAGCTTCCTCACTAAGTTTTTTTTAGTTTTGGGACCAAGTTTTGTTTAGGTTAATCTTAACCGTTCATCAATTGCTTAATGGTTAAGTATTAATCTCAACCGCTTATCATTGCTTAATAGCTAAGTTTTGATCTCAACCGTTAATTATTACTTCATAGCTAAGTCTTAATCTCAACCGTCCGTCAAAGTTAATAGCAAAACGTTTTTAAAGAATAGCAATCCCGAAAGAAAACATGTAACTATAAGACCATATAATAGGATCGGAATTTTATTCCTTACATTCTCCCACTTGGTCGTTAGTGTAGTTCATTAAAGTTTTCTTTCGGAAATCATAAGGCCGGCATAATTTGCTATATCTTTACTTAATCATCATAAGCGTCTTGGTTAATCTAGTAATCAATGGGAGTCATGGCGGTCGCACATCATTTTGCAATATGATTCCTTCCATGTACCACTGCATTGATTACTTTCATAACTAGACCGTAAACATAAGCGGAAGTTATCATAATGGTCTTTAATGTCTTAAAAAAAAGACACATTCTGTTATTCTTAAATCTAACAAAACATAATGTGTGCGCACGTTAGAAACAGAATGAATGAAAGATGTAAAAGTCATAAAGAGCACACATAAATATCAAATATAGGCTAAAACATAAGCATACAACATCATTAAGTGCTATCCTCAAGACCCATATTTTCAGTATGTTTCATAAAGATCTTTGGAGGTAAAGCTTTCGCTAGTATGTCTGTATTCATAACATAAGCGCCCTTTCATTCAATGACAAACTTTTCTCTTTTAACATCTTGTTTTCAATGACATGTATTAAGCTTAATATCGATATAATTGGATCCTTTAGATATCATGTCTTACTTGAAAGATTGCACCATTTATTGTCACATAAAGAGTTAAGACTCAATGTCTTAAACTCATAGACAATACTGCAACCATAATTTCGCATAAAGTTGCTACATACTCAGCTTTGTTTAGTGAATGTAGAAAGAAACTACAACTAAAGTCTTTTCATAATATAGTATCTCTGGTAATGAGATACACATAGCCGAGAGTGCAATGCCTAGAATCTTGGCATCCACCAAAATCTGAGTCTGAAAATCCAACCATCTGTGGATGTGTTGATTTTCTATATGTTAGCATGTAGTTTCTTGTTCCCATTAGGTATCTCAAAATTCTGAGTTAGAAAATGCAACCATCTGTGGATGTATTGATTTCCTTTTCGTAATTTCTTGTTTTCTTTAAGTATCTAATAACCTTATTTTGAGCTTACCAATAATAGAAGAACACATCATTATGCTAATCTCTCAAGAACTTTATCAATTTATATGTTTTCTGAGACAATCCCAAAATTCCCAATGATCTATTACGGAATATTTCAATTCCTATCACATAGGATGCCTCACCCATATCTTTCATATCAAAGTTCTTGGAGAGATAACTCTTAGTCTCACTTAATAGACCAAGATCACTACTGGGTAAAATGATGTCATCAACATACAGCACCAAAAATATGAACTTACTCCCACTGATCTTGAGGTATATACATGGATCTGCGGCATTTTCTTTGAAACCGAATTTCGTAATGATTTCATCAAACTTTAGATACCATTGCCTCGAAGCTTGTTTCAGTCCATAAATTGATTTCTTTAGTTTGCAGACCATGTCTTTCTGACCTTCGATTATGAAGCCTTCAGGTTGCCGCATATAGACTTCTTCATGCAAGTCTCCATTAAGAAAAGCGGTTTTCACATCCATTTGATGTAACTCAAGATCATATTGAGCTACTAATGCCATGATAATTCTGAGCGAGTCTTTTCTAGACAAAGGTGAAAAAGTCTCACTGTAGTCAATGCCCTTTTCTGATTAAACCCTTTAGCTACAAGTCTGGCTTTATATTATTCAACATTTCCATTGCAGTCGAGTTTGGTCTTGAAGACCCACTTACACCCAACTGCCTTGTGTCCTTTAGGCAATGGAACAACGTCACAAACTTCATTCTTAGCCTTTGAGTCCATTTCTTCTTTAGAGGCATCAATCTATTTATCAGAATTAACATTTTTAATGGCTTGTGAATAAGAAACCAGATCTTTAATGTCCCATTCTCCAGATTCTACTTGGTAAAGCACATAATCATCGGAAATAGCAGATCTTCTCAGACGAGTTGACCTTCTTAATACTGGTTCCTCATGTTCTTCAAGTACATGATCATTATTGGCGATATTTTCATCATGGAGTGGATGAGCATTCACTGGAGTTTCCTCATTGTTTAACGGTTCAACAACGTGAGGAATCCCAACATTCGGAACTAAGGGTAATGGGACATTAACCCAAACTTCCTGAATGGCTACATCTTTTACTTTATCACTCCCACTAATCTTGCCATTTTCATAAAATCTGGCATTATTAGTTTCTATTATTCTCGTACTATGGGTTGGACAATAAAATTTATATCCTTTAGATTTCTCAGGGTAACCGATAAAGAAACCACTGATCATTCTGAAATATAATTTCTTTTCATGTGGGTTATATATTCTTACTTCAGCTGGACATCTCCAAACTTGGAGATTTGACAGACTAGGTTTCCAGCCTTTCCACAGTTCAAAAGGAGTCTTTGGAACTGCTTTGCTTGGAACCCTATTTAAGATATAAACTGCAGTACGTAATGCATACATTCACAAGGATATAGGTAAGTTAGCATGGCTCATCATGGATCTAACCATTCCCATATAAGTACGGTTACGTCTTTCAGCTACACCATTCTGCCATGGAGAACCAGGTGTTGTGTACTGAGCAACAATCCCTAATTTTTGGAGAAGATTGGCAAAGGTCCAGGATGTTGTCCTGTTTCATCATACCTGCCAAAAAATTCACCACCTCTATCAGACCTAATGATTTTCACTTTTCTAATATGATTGCCTCTCTACTTCAGTAATGAACACTTGTACAGCATCCACAGATTGAGATTTTTCATGCAATAGATAGAGATAACAATTACGTGAATAATCATCAATAAAGGTAATAAAATACTTTTCGCCTCCAAAAGTTGGAACGTCAAAAGGTCCAAAAATATCTGTATGTATGATTTCAAGAATCTGTGTACTTCTTGTGGCTCCTTTCTTAGTGTGTTTAGTTTGCTTACCCTTAATGCAATCTATACACTCTTTACTATTGGTAAAATCTAGATTTGGATTGACACCATCTTTTACCAATCTCTTGATTCTTTCATAGGAAATGCGTCCTAATCTTTTATGCCACAAGAAATATGAGTCATCAGTACATGTTTTACGTTTAAGTCCTTTTTCAGTGTGCAGCGTGAGATGTGTTTTAAAAGGTTGATCAGCCAATTTTAACATATAAAGGCCATCAACTAATATTCCAGAACCAATACGATTAGAGTTCAGAAATAAATTGAAACAACCATCTCCTTGAGTAGACTTAAAGCCAGCCAAATCAAGTTTGCTTACAGAAACTAGATTACGGGAAATAGATGGAACATACAGAGTTTGAAATAAATCCAAACAAAATCCACTATCCAAAATGAGACGATAAGTGCCAATAGCTTTAATTAACTAGTGCTTTGTCTCGATTTCCCATCAATAAGGAGTTTTCACTTGGATTTATGGTCTGGATCGTAAGGAATCCCTTCACGAAATTTGTAACATGTACATTAGCACCGCTATCAATCCACCAAGTTTTAGAAGAAAGATTTGATTAAAAAAAGCTTACGGAACCCATAGGATTACCTTTCTTTTTGAACCATTCTCTTCTTTTTGTGCAATCTTTCTGAAAGTGACCAACCTTTTTACAAAAGTGGCATCTTTCATCTTTCTTTGCTTTCTTCTTCTCGTTAGCTTGATCAGAATCATTCATTTTGGGTGGTGCTCTTTTATGGCTTTTGTTATGCCTTTTCCCAACTTTAGTTCCAGCTCCTTGGACATAATGGACAACCTTAATTCCTTCTCGACCAAGCCTAGACTCCTCTTGGACCAACTTAGTAGTTAATTCATTAGACGTCCACCTTTCATCAATTGAATTATAATTGATTTGGAATGGTCCATACTGAGGAGGCAGTGAATTTAGGATAAATTGGACGAGAAATGAATCGTCCACACTCATTCCTAAATTCTTTAGCTTAGCCGCAAGGTTGGTCATTTCTATGCAATGTTTCATGCATAGACCTTGCCCCATCATACTTTATGGTTGTAAGATCTGCCATAAGTTTCCCTGCAAGGGATTTGTCTGCAGTCTTAAACCGTTCTCTTATGGCTGCCAGATAAGCTTTCACTTTATCTGCATCCGGAAGGGGAGTTTTAATGTTACTAGCTATTGTCACCCTTAAGAACATGATGCTCAATCTGTTCGATTTCTCCCAAGCTTTATGGAGAATCTTTTCTTCTTCAGTACTATTTTCAGTTAGTGGATTTGGCATTTCTTCCCGAAGCGCCAAATCCAATTCTCGTACTCCTAATGTGAACTTAACTTTCTCTTTCCATTCTGAGAAGTTGGTTCCGGTGAGGATCGGAACAAATGAGGCCATAGTTGACAAATTAGCAGGAAAACATGCTGCAATTTATGAGATACAACAAGTTCTAATTAGGCTCTATTAACAACACAATTATTACAATTATTAAATGCATATGACAAGAAATTATGGCACTCCTGTGGGTAGTTCACCATATTTTCGTTTAAAATCATAGCTTTAATGAATCATTATTGAGTAATGTACTAAACTAATTACACTAAGTTATCTGTGGATATACTTAGTATATATGTACATAATACTCCATTAATTATTGATCATGTTTTATGTTAATAGCCTACCTGTGGGTAGCTAGATTTACATAAACATATCAATCTCACTTAAACATGG